ATATATATATATATATATATATATACACACATATATATATATACACACATATATATACATATACATATATATACATACATATATATACATATACATATATATACACACATATATATACATATACATATATATACATACATATATATACATATATATACATACATATATATACATATACATATATATACATACATACATATACATATATATACATACATATATATATACATACATATATATATACATATACATATATATAATTTGCCTTCTTTTTTAAAATATTAAGTGATGGTATGTCATGGTTTCCACAAAATATTAAGTAGCAAAAATTGTGTTGAACTTCAATAATAATAATAATAATAATAATAATAATAATAATAATAAATAAATTTTAATAAGCACCAAATCAGAATGATTTCCAAAGGATCAGGCACAATGAAGACTACAGTACACAATGCTGAAAATTAAACTTTGCCACCACACAAGTGAACAGCAAATATATTAAAACAGAAAAAGAATCCTTAAATACAACGAAAATGTCAAAATGTACTATTTATGACTGATTAAATCTAGAAAAAAAAATTGGAATAAGAGCCTATTTTTCCATCTATAGCATATATAGTGCATATAAATACTTTAAGGTGCTCCTTACACATGCTAATAAATGCAATGAACAGGAGTGAGTTATGAATGTTCACCCTCTCTGCCTTGTAGTGTATCCGCACCATCCTCTGATCTCCTTATAGACCAGTCTGGACAGCAGCTACACAAATGATAACAAGGGGAAATAATTAGCTTACTTAGCAATAGCCAATATATATTGGAGATCACTTCTGTAACAAATAATCAATATAATACACACCAGACAGGCCAGTACATCAGCAGCAATGAGCATGTAGAAGACGTTGTTCCAGCCAGTGGGAGAGATCAGACCAGCCAACAGAGGTCCTACAGCGGCACCTAGAGGATGTTCAGCACATTACAACACACGTTAGCATCATCCCGGAACAAAGACATGTTTGCAAAATGAACACTGGCTTTTAAATGTTACATTGCTTCGATTGTCAGGAGGCTTTTAATATTATTAAGGAAAAACACTCCAGGCATAAAATACACTAGTCAGTTTTGGGATGTTAGGCTTTTTGGCTTTCATAAAATGTGTTTCTGTCTGTCTAAAGTAAAAATAACTTCAAAAATTCACAAAGGTATCTATAAGTTAACAATAATATATATATTTTTAAAAGCAAATTCTCAAAATTAGTTTTTTTCCCTGTAATGAGCAATACATTTTCCAATTCTGCTTAATTTTGTGCATGTGCTTAATTTTGACAATAAAATATTTATTATTATTATTATTATTATTATTATTAAAAGCTAGAAATTTGCGGACAATTGTGTGTTAAAAAAAAAAAAAAAAGCTAATATCAAAACTTTAAAAACTAGGGGGTCTGAATACAACACAGTGTATCTGACCCAAGTAAGCAGCATGAAGCTCAAAAAAGAAAAAAAAAGAAAAAGTCTCACAATCTCAGCATACCTATTGATCCAGTGCCATCAATAATGGCGGTCACAGTGGACAGAGCTCTGGAGTTACCTCTCAGACTCTCGTGGGTTCCCTGGAAGATCACAAAACATTATGAAATTTACAACAGCAAGTGTAGAGTTACAAAATAGCTTATTGATCAGTTATTGACAGCAGGACTTATCTGTGTCTATTTAAAGTCTTCCTTTTATTTATTTATTTTTGTTCATGAGTAAAGTACATGGAGTAAAGGTGCCCGAGACTTACTAGGTCAGCAGATACAGCAGTGGTGATGAGGGCGTAAGGTCCATTCACGAGAGCACCACACCACAGCAACATGCCTACAGGTCACAAAAACACACATCTTATTTGTGGGAATCAATACGGAAAATTTTCCGATCATCATAAGAAAAACAAACAAACAAAAAGTTCTACAAAACTTTTTTAAAGCAACAGTTTGGCCAGAAATGTTACATTTGTCATAATATAAAATAAAATAAATACATTTGTTTTATTCCTCATAAAATTAACAATCAAAACTTGAGAAACCCTCTGAGAGGGTATTTGAGTGTAATCAAGTGTCAGAATGTTGTAAGACTGCTATACAGTAATTATTATTAAGCATTATAGATAGCAAAATTTAGTGACTTCTATTTTAGCGTTTTTTTGCATGACGGTAAAAAACGAACACGGGTATGTATTAAAACATGCTAGTTAGTTGTAAAAATTCGTAAAAAAAAAAAAAAAAAAAAAAAAAAATATATATATATATATATATATATATATATATATATATATATATATACATATAACATATAACATTTATATATAAAATATAAATTTTTTTTTTTTTTTTTTACTTCTGTGTAAGGTACTAGATTACTTCCAGTATTCTGGGAAATTTTTTTAGCCATTTGTTTAGAGTTTGGTCCTGAAAAATCTTAGTTTAAAGGGGTATCTAGCCCTACTCCTTCATGTGAAGGAGCAAAATGAGGGGTAAAAGAAAGGAAATGGCTAAGGGGTAGAATTGTGATTGGGCCTTAGTGTGCCACCAGTGACGAAATACAACCATATCACACTGCTATGAGTGTGATATTGCTTTTATTCAACAGTTTGACAATATGTTAGGTTTATTATAGGTTGCTTGTGCTGACAAAAAAAAAAAAAAAATCTTATACAGTGTATGCTTTATTGTATGTGAAGTTTGTAAAGTTTAAACTCAAGAAACAATAAGCCAGAAAATATTAAGTGTAGTTAACAAGTTATGTGCTTTTTATTTTTTTTAAATCAGTTAATTTACTAGGAAGTTACATCTTTTTTGGTCACTTAATTGCTTTGAAGATTTTAAATAGTTTTAGCATTAGCTTCCCAGCTTCATTTCAAAATGACATCAAGTTTTTGGCATAAAATCAATTTAAATGATTTATATAATGCTTGATGTCAATTAGACATGTACAAATTAATGTTCCTTTGACAAACAGTATTATTATATTAGAAATGTTGTTAAGACTCTATTATAAAAAGTATTACCAAAATGTCTTGTTCATCTGAAAGCTTTAATTCCAATTCAAAATGAAGGGTTTCTAACTATAAAAAAACCAAAAAACGAATTTTATAAAGAACTAAAATCTTGACTTATGATCATTAGTGCTTGTGCATGTCACCATTTTGATAAACCAATATTAATATAATAGTCTATAGAAGCCTGTAGGAAAACAGGCTTCTATAAAAACAGGCTTCTATAAATTTCACTTAAAAAAAAAACAAACAAAAAAAAAAAACAGAAGAGGATATACATCATTAGACTACCACTACAATGAGTAAACAAACACTTTTCATTTCATCAGTTAATTTTCGGGTGAACAACCCCTTTAAATCCTAATTTAAATCAGCATTGAAAAGATTTAGCTTTTCCGACTACAACACACACATGACAAAAAAATAAAACAAAATAAGTAACTGGTATATATACTCACCAACTGTGGTTGGCAAGCCATTCTGGCCAATCTTATTGTACAGGAACAGCTTGAGAAAGAAAGGCAAACATAAGTTAGCAGCAGTTCTCGAAGGAAAGGCAAAAGATGCCCATGTGTTTATAGCAGTTCACAGGTAAACTCAAACTTGAGGGTTTTGTATGCATGGTGTTTCAGATGTCTGCAAACACTCTGAGCAAACTTGAAGGTGTACTGACAACATTTCACATTTTGTCACTGCAAACTAGCTGTTTTTGTCTGTGCTTTGCTCAGGCTAATAGTTATCTAGGAAGCAAAATCAGCCACATTAGGTATTTTCCATCCAAATATGCCAATTAGATTGTGCACAAAACTGAAATATTGTATAAAACATTTGTGAAGAAAGCACCGTTTCCACCTAATGAGTCAAAGAGAACAATATTGCCACTACCTGATAAACCGCTGCCAAATATTTACAAAAAAAAAAGTGTTTTTATCTTCAAATAAGTTACTTGCACCTCAAAAGGTGCGAGATGCTTTATGCGAGTGCAGATGCTCAACACAGCTCTGGAAGAAAAATACTAAATAATGGGCTTGGTTTAAGGATTTTAGAATGACCAAAACAACATTTCAGATGTTTTACAATGTGATCGTTCTGCTGGTTTGCTAATGGTGTGCCATCGCTCCATTTTTGTTATTACATGATCTGAACTTTTTTTATGCGCATGCTGGAATTTAATTGGTAAATGTGTTTCCATTGTAGTTTATTTGCATCGGATACAAAGTTTATCCTACTTTTTAGTTGTGTGTGTACATTTGTTTATGCACAATTTCAAAATGTATGCACATTTTGCCATATCGATTAGGCATTTTATTAAATGCATATCCAAAATGTGCATAAAAATAGGTGTATGGAAACAAAGCTAGTGACTACCCAGGTTTGAAAAAAATAAACCTCCCAAAATGTTATGGTCCATAAAGCTTACGCTACGTTCACACTGCATTCAAATGTGGCCCAAATGTTTTTCCCCCTCATGTGAAAGAGCGAACAGCCCAAACTGCATGGACTCTGATCTTTTCATTTCAGATTTTTGTCACTTTCATATGTAGTCTTAAATCAGACACAGATCTGATGTTTTGCAATGCGACCGCAGTGTGAACAGTTATGTCTGATTACACGTGACTTTTACATAATCTTTGAGTGATATGCATCATCATTCTGTGCGGCAGACATCACCTACTCCCCAGCAGCGGTAGAATGGCATGCAGGGCAAATACTTTACCACAGACAGTTTATTGTTAATTTCGAAAAAAAATAAAAAATAATGAAGACAAAACTGGTGCTTGTTCACCAATCTGGTTAACGATCAGGGAACGGGTTGATCGCAAAGCTGAAAAGTCGTGGGGTGTTGCAGATAGGCGATCTGTGTGCAAAGGAGGAGGAACTTTCTTTCAGAGAGAAAAAAGGGCAGGTGCTCAAGTACCCAAACCCTCTTTCTGCATGTGTCTGCTGTTTATAACGAAGTAAAATATAAAATTTACTCTGCAAACGGAGATATACCAACTCCGCCTTCACAGTTCAGTCTGCAGCTGCTCATTAACCCTTGATGAGTTCACTACACCAATGGTCAGAGCGCCATGCACCGCGGTTGTCATAAATTACAAATAATCAGTGTTTTCAAATCACAAGAGACTCATTTTTGGTTTCAAATGCCGAAATACATTAGAAGTAGCAGAAAAACCTTTTACAGTTTATGAAATACACCACAGTTGTCTGTTAAAAAGGATACAAATGATATTAAGCATAATCTGACAACATGCTTCATACCATATATACACTGTGTACATAATTAGACATTTTGTGCTGTGCGTAGTTATAATTTTGCACATGCCGGTGAGTTTAGGAACAGGATCTGTTCACAATGCAAATCTGATATTGGCCACATTTAAAACAACAATTTGAACAGCAAAGCAAAAATATCAGATCTGAGAAAAAATCTGATTTAGGCACTAAGCCTTGCAGTGTGAACGTAGGCTTAGGGTGCTTTTACACCTAGACTTTTGTTTCGGACACCTTTATCGTTTGCCCAGTTTGCGCGGTTCGTTTGGCATATGTGAATCCACTAATCGGTTTCGGATCTGCGCCAAAATAATTGCTCCGAGATCGCTTGAATGAGGTGATCTTGGCTCGATTGAAACGAACTCTGGAGCAGATCGATTGTAGTAAGAAAACGATACAATCCTAGCCCTGTTTTACCACAGTGTTTTATGGATATAATAGGCATACAGCTATATGAAGAGAGAATTATGAGTAGGGCAAGAGGTCTATTAACGGACATCCCGAGTCTCCTGCAAATGCACAGAGACTCCCGGATGTCCGCAAACGAGGGATAATCTCCCGGTTATCACGCGTCTCCCTCCCGGTCTTAAAATACGTCGTGCACCCTTCTCACCCCTCCTCACTGCATCCCTCCTCGCTCTTCAGACACGTCACGTTCACCTTGTCATACACCACCAAACCACCACCCCCCCTGACAGCTGAGCGTGACTCTGCAAAATAAACCGTGAAACTCTGACAAATGTGAGGAGAGTTTACTCACATGTGACTTGTTTTAGCTGTTTTGGTCCGTTTAGAAAATTTGCAGTGTGAAAGCGAACCGCACCAAGAGCAACAATCTAACAATTTTGATCCCTTTTTTGAAACAACTGAATTGATTCACAGGTGTGAAAGCACCCTTAGTGAGGGATGACAGTGCACCTGTTTTAATGATGTTTTAAGCACTCTTAATAAAACCCTTTCAAATTAATCTGCAATATTGTTTGCATTTTGTGATTATTTGATGTACATTTTGGCTAAAATGTCAATATAAAAAAATGCACCTCACCATAGGAGCAGCAATGATCAACATGGCACAGCAAGTACTGGCTCTGCCTCCAGTATAGTCAGATACTAATCCAGCTACGATGCCACCTAACACACAAATATATTTTACAATCTTATAAACAACAACAACACGTAAGCCTGGTTCAATCTACCAAATATCAGACCCATATTTAGTAAGATCAGTTTGACTTTGAGTGCAAACTATAGTGGTCATTTGGTTGCAAGAATCATTTAATTTTGCATATCGTATGGCTGCACAACATTGGAAAAAATGTGATGTTATGTTTTTCTGCTATATATTTAACAATATAAATATTTTTACTTGATTTAGAAATAAATAATAATTTTTGACTAATTGGGATGATTTCTGTAGGGCAGTGCATTCGCATAAAATATAATATACATATTATTAAGCATAGATAATTAGATTATCGTAAAACAACAAAAACCCAAAATGTTTCCTGGTTTTCTGGAGTCTAACTGTATTCAGGTAAATTGAGTAATCAAATGTAAAAAATAAATAAATAAATAACACTATAGTCTTCACTCTATAAAAATAAATACAATTAATTTTAGTTAAAGCTAAAAAGTTCTATTTTTTATACACACCTGGTTTGCATTGTAAAGTAACAGGCTTTAAAAAACTATTAAGTTAAATAATTTAATAAAAACTTTCACTCCATTAAAGTTAAACTTCATGATGAATCCACAATGTATTGATATTGTAACAGTATTCAAATTTCAATTCAATTCATCTTTATTTGTATGGCACTTTTACCATGTTGATTGTGTCAAAGCAGCTTCACATAGAATATCATAGTAAATTGAAACAGTGTAGTTCAGTTTTTAGAGTTTAAGTCTAACAGTATTATCATTATTATTATTACGCGGTATCTGCTCCGTCTTTGGACACTTTTAAATCTAGACTTAAACACTGATTTTATTATTTAGCTATAACATTCGTATACATATATTTGTAA